ATCAATGGAGAAAAGCAAGGCGAAGCAACCTCTTTCCTTAAAAAACCGTAGCTTCTAAAGGTGGTAGCCTAAATCAGGTGATAAAAGCAGCACATGCCTTTCTCGCATTTAAAACCAAAGGCAATAATGGCATTAACTTAAAATAAAATTTAACTTTCTAAGAAAGAGGAACTAAGCCCCTACATTAGTCGACAATATATGACAATCCTATTTAACAAAAATAAAAGCAAATTTCTCTATCGACTGTCATCCATTCTATCAAGTGACTATCTATTCCCACACCAAATAAAAAACAGAAAATATTAGTAAGAAATTAAAAATTGAGATACATAATACAGCATCATGCTTTAAAACAGTCAATGAGCCAGCCATCACGTTGCAAGTTTGGCTTGTGCAGGATTCAGTCACTGTCTTCATCTTCTTCTGCAAAAATTACACTCACATCGTGTAAGAGAACACACACAATAGCTTACAACATGCAAGTTACTATCTAACTAATAGTTACTAAAGAAATGATGTTTGCAGCATGTTCTGGTTTCACTTCCAGAGATTTGGATTAGTCAGAAATGCTCTGATACTACACTACTAAACGGTCCCATTTCACATTCCATAGCTTTTCTACAGCCACATATATGACACTAATAAATATTGTGTGTGCTCGTATGGTACCGAATTGCCCCACTTAAGAAAACTGTCACAAACCCTTCACATGCCCAGCTGTGCAATCATAGATTCCCAAAGTACAACATAAACTGTCTTAAGTTTTGAATCTCCTATCCCCACTCAGATGCACCAAAATAATAATAAAATAACAATATATAAAAATAATAATAAAATAATAAAATTATATAATTATAATTATATAAATTAATCAAGAGTAAAATTATCTTTTTACCCTTGCCACGTTAGCAAGTTAATGATAATATTAACGGTTTATTAACGGCTGAACTTACTTCTCCAACGAAATATATTTTTTTGAAGCGAAGTGTCCATTTCAAAAACTAATAGACCTTTGTGTAATTTTGATCAAAACTTAAGAAAGTGAAAGTATTTTACCCAACTTTATAACAAAGTGAACAAACAAATCCTCATACTCACCTTCATCTGATCCTTCACTTTGGCTGTTGCCTTCATCACCGCCGTCTTCAGCATCATTATCTTCATCGTCATCGTCATCATCATCCTCGTCACTTTCTTCACTTTCATCATCATCACTTGCATTTGGTATTTTGGGCTTTGGTGGAGCAACAAAACTGGTTGTAGACCTCCTACGTGAACTTAACACAATATTACTTGTGTCAATCCCTTCTAGTTCTTTTGCTCTTTCTTTTCTCCTCTTGACTTCCTTGATTTCTGAGAGTTTAAAATAGTCCTATTATTAATAGAATTGGAGAAAAAAGAGTAGAAGAATATGATGACAATGATGGTGATAAAACCCACAAGCTATGATTCATAGTGCATTCAACTTGGTGTAAGGTGTGAGTGGAAATCTCTGCAATCCCATGTGAATTTTATAGATTTTCCTGTCTAATACTAAAAACCAGCAATCAACTTGTAGATAAATGATGTATACCCCATCATTAAAAATTTCCTATTACATCTGAAGCAAATGTCATCAAGCTTTCTTAGTACACGGCCACAGATATTTTCAACCAAACAATGACACGTAAGACTGATGCAACGCATCAAGAATTCTATTTTATTTAGTATTTTCATTAGCTTAGGATTTTATTTTCTTTATTTTATTTAGTTTGAGATTCTTTTTTCTATCTTTATTAGAATTTTAGTACTTTAAGTCTATGTAGGATTAAAAGTACTATTTGATTAGAATTTATCTTAGCTATGATAAATAGGTGATCCTTGATAGAAGATTATTATTATCTTTGTTTATTCTGAATTTTTATTCAAGAGGTTTTTTTAAAACTCAATTATCTTTCTATTGTTCCAAACACAATCAAACCCATTCAAGCTTAATTGTTGAGTTTTAATTGCCCTAAACCTTCCGACTACATCAAAGTGGTATCAAAGCAAACAATCCTACTATCCTACAAGGACTTTTAGCTAGGAGACAGGTTGGCCGAGGCAGAGGTTGAGGTAGAGGCAATCAACCCTAACAAGTTAAGTTGGCAGAGATGCAAAGAATGATTGATGACTTGACTCAGACTGTGCAAGCCTTGCAAAGTCAAGAACCAGTGAGAGCCCGAATGGAGTATTCGAAAGGTGACCCCAACCCCTTGAGATTCATGATCTTGAGGATGATGATAATGATTTTGAGAACGAGAACCCCTCTCATGAAGATAGACCCGCAAATTAAGCGACAATAGTTGGATTGGAGGGCCGGTTACTACACAGCCTTGGTTTATATGGTGGAGAAATCAAGTTGAAGTAGTTGATTTCCATGGGAAGTTTCATACAAAGGATTATTTGGATTAAGAAGCCAGTTTGGAAAATTACTTTGATTGGAAATCCATAGCAGAAAATCAAAAAGTGCTATTTGTAACACTGAAATTGAAGCCTACACTTCAATGATGGAAGAGTTGAAAATGAACGTGCACGACAAGGGAAGCTTAAAATCAGCACTTGGGAGCACATGAAAAGTAAATTATGAAAGTAATTTTTACCTGCTGATTATACTATGGAATTATATGAAAAGTTTCATCGTTTGAAACAAAATAACATCACTGTTGACGAATATACATCGAAGTTCAATAAACTATTAATTCGGGTTGGGTTAACAGAGAGTAACGAACAAATTACTTCTCGTTATCTTGCTGATTTGAATCATTCTATTAGAGATGAGATGGGAGTAGTTCGTTTGTACAATATTGAAAATGCTCATCAATATGCTTGAGCAGCTGAAAATCGAGTTTCACGCTATGGTGCTAGAAAGCCTTTATATGTCACCCATTGGCAAAACGATCTAGAGCAAGACAAGGCTACCAAACATCCCAACAAAATTATCAAAAGGCTACCACAACCAATAAAACTAATAGGGTGCAACCAATGTTGAAAAGAATGATAAAGGCAAGAGTATAATGTCATATGGTGGACAAAACAGTTCTGGTTGTTCTACAAATAAAGGAAGCAGAAATTCCCATATTCAATGTTTTACTCGTGGGGAGAAGGGACACTTCATTTGCTTGCTCACAAAGAATGACGAACTTAGTAGAATTTAGGGAGGAATTAGAACCCATTTATTATAAACATGATGAGGAAATAGAGGAAATTGATGTGTATCCTGCACAAGGTGAGTCCTTAGTGGTACGAAAAGTGATGACTACAACAATCAATGAGGAAGCAGAAGATTGGAGGCGGCGAAGTATTTTTTGCACACGTGTTGTTTGTGAAGGTAAAGTTGTTGACCTTGTTATTGATGGAGGAAGCATCCAAAATATTATTTCAAAGAGGTGGTAGACAAATTGAAGCTTCTTACAGGCAAACAACCTCATCCTTACAAGATTAGGTGGCTAAAGAAAGGACATGGGCTACCGGTAACTACTCAATGTTTGGCGAAATTCACTATCGAAGGTAACTTGGATAATGAGGCTTTATGTGATGTTGTGCCAATGGATATAGGTTATATTCTTATTGGTAGACCTTGGTTGTATGATCATGATATGGATCATAAGACGAAGCCAATACCTATTCCTTCTACAAGGACAACAAGAGGTATACTTTTATCCTCTTAAAAGAGAAGCTAAGCAATTGGTAACTTCAAGCCCCACAAGCAGCAAAATTGTTGGGTACTGAAAATTTTGAAGCTGAAGTTAGTAATGAAGAGGAATTGAAACAAGTAAATCCAAATATCTGTGAGAAGCATGTTAAGGCCTACTCGTCGGAACCGAGTGTTTTTCTAACTCGAGGGGACTGATACAGGCGTATCAAGAATTCTATTTTATTTAGTATTTTCATTAGCTTAGGATTTTATTTTCTTTATTTTATTTAGTTTGAGATATTTTTTTCTATCTTTATTAGCATTGTAGTACTTTAAGTCTTTATTTAGGATTAGGATTACTATTTAATTAGGATTTATCTTAGCTATTATAAATAGTTGATCCTAGATTGAGGGTTATTATTATCATCTTTGTTTATTCTGAATTTTTATTCAAGAGGTTTCTTTAGAACCCAATTATCTTTTTATTGTTCCAAACACGATCAAACCCATTCAAGCCTAATTGTTGAGTTCTAATTGCCCTAAAACTTCCAGCTACATCAAAGACTAAGTAAGTTCCCCATAAAAGATAATATGAGGAAGAAAAAAAAAACAGGCACGCACTCATTAACTCATTTTCACATAGGTATTAGTACTCTACTAATATATGGTCATTATCATCATCCCTACCCATGGATGGTGAAGGCATCTATAAACAATGAGATGAAAAACTCAGCTAAAAAACTTTTCCCCCCTTTCTAACATTTTATCTAAGCATTAAAGAGCTTATTAATGATATAACAAACCTTTATACCATTTATTCCCAGTGACAAAGATCCTTCCAAACAAGATCAACTTCATAAATGAAAGTAACCATCAACAGTTGTATAGAGGTTAGAATCCTCACCTTTTTCAGAAGGATTTGAAGACAATCCTTCTTTAGAAAGAATCTCCTCCAGTTCCTTTATGAGTTGGGCTTCACGGTTATTCTCAGGTACCTGTTTGACTCTCTTGTAGATTGAGGGAGGAATACTGTAAATAAAATAAGTAATAAGAATACACTTATGGTCAACCTTGACAAAGATCAAGATTCACAAAAGGCCAGTGCAGTAAAACCTCATCCCACATGATTTGATAACTGACTTCAGATGTTCCACATGTTTCCCATATACTGGAGTGGAAGTTTCTTTTCTCTGCACGTCAGTAATAAGATTATAAAACGCTTAATTTATCAGAACATAGATTTTGGACAGAAAATGAACAATAGGAAGCAAGACCTTCACCACTTTTGCAGCAGAAGATCGAGAGCGACCATCATCTGAGACACTCCCACTGTCTTCTGCATCACTATTGTCATCTGAAATCAATTCTGCATGCTTGCTTCTCTTCTTGCTAGGCATCTCTGCCTCTTTTGTAGGTATTTTCCGTTTTTTAAGACCTTCAGAGTTCTTAATCTTCCCTTTCGCACTGATCTTCTTTTTGGGTTTCACTTCTTCTTCCTCCTCCTCTTCATCTTCATCTTCAACTTCATCTTCATCTTCATCTTCATCTTCCTCTTCCTCTTCTTCGTCACTCTCGCTTCCTGATGAAGCAGAACTCACTTTCTTGCTGACCTTTCTAGAGGCTTTGCTCTGAGAATTTTTCTTCAGATTGTTTTTCTTAACCACACTAGCAGGCGCAGAAACTTCGCCAGACTTTAATACCTGCTAATCAACAGAGAAAATCACAAGAAAGCTATGATGAACATAATACTTTAGGAAGCTAAATTGACTTCTCACAAACAAATTATGCCCACCTCATCTAATTGTTCAGTTATAAACTTCTTGTATGGATCGAGTGTATACTTATCAAGTTTAAGATCTTCCTCCAAAAGCCGACGAAGACCAGCCATTGTGACTTTACTGAAATATCAAAAGATCAACAGCAAAGAAATGATTTAATGTAAAACCTAGTTTACCATAAACACTGGAAAAAGATAGCATATAAAGCACTACGATGCAACATGATGCACAAGCAATTTTATTATGACTAACAACCACCAATCCAACAATTTAGAAGCTTACTCCGAATTAGCTTCAACATAAGAAGCTCTTTTTTTTATCGCTTTTTTTATTGTACTCTCAGAAACATCTTTATTTTCTTTAGTCTCAGTTTCAGTGGTTTCTGTTTTTGTAGTCTTGTGTCCAGTCAAAAGGCCCAAAACTGGAGAGTCTTCCAATTTCTCCTCATCTTCAGAGAAAGCTTCCTTTACATCTTTCTTTGATTGTCTTGCTTTCGGTGATTCTGTTACTTCAGTGGTTGTACTTACGTTTTTCTCCCCAGTTTCACCAGAACTCTTGGGGGCATCATCGTCATCACCACCATCTAAGCACTGTAATAAACAATGGATTAAATATATTGATCAGGTAAAAAGTGAGCTGAGAAAATGAAATTAAACCTTTCAAGTAAGCATTCACATTGCAATGCCTCCTTATATAACATTATTAATATCGAAGTACACCAGCAGCGACAAAATTTGTGACTTCTATCATTCCCAAATCAACTAAAGCTCTATCCCAAACTAGTAGGCCAGTTCATCAATAGTTTTCTCTAACCCACGTGGTCTTGTAAGTCCATAGAAACTTTAAAAACAGAAGATATCATTATTTCATAAAACTGGGGATAGAAATTGCAGAATATTCTATCTAAAATCAAGTAAAGGATAGTAGAAAAAACAAAGTCTAGTTACCTCTTATTCACTCAAAAATTATTATAAATAATGAAGTAAAAGCAAAATCATGATTGATAGTAAATATACAAATAAATAAAATGTAACATCAATTCCAACATAATTATTTTATATAAAAGCAAAATCATGCATTTTGCATCCAATTGCACATTTTACATTTTCACTCTAGCAGCAAATAAAAAAAAATTAAGATGTGTTTGATAAACGATTGAAAATTAAAATTTTCAAAGATTTAATTTTTCGCAATGCATTTGATAATTCATTTTGAGAAACCACTTAATGAAAGATTTTCAATGAAAAAGTGTTGAAAATCTTAAGTAGCTTTTAGCTATATTTATTCAATTTTGTTATAGAAAGAATTTGTTATTTAATTACATTAACCTTTTTTTTTCCTTCAAAACATTTATTCTTTTTTTTTTTAACTTTAACAAAATCTCTCTTTTACACAATACTTAATAAAAAAATCTACTCAATATTAATTCTTTGTAGCATACCAAAAAACTTTCATACCAGTACTTAATTTTTCAATGCTAAATTTTTTCAGTTTATCAAACAACACCTAGATAAATAAACAAAGCATACCTAATAACAATACCAATTATAACATAAACGTTCAATGGAAAACTAAAATCATGCATTTTCCAATAAAAAAAATACACTTTTTTATTTTTTATTTTCCGAAAATAGTATAGGCTTTTGTAGCTAAAACACACATTTTGCTTTTACAAGTGAAAAGCAAGTAGCAAAGTATGAGTAAACTTACATGAAGCCTAAATAAGAGAAAGCATCTTATCAAAAAAAAAAAAAAAGTAAAAGTGGCAGAGAAGAAATTCCGAAATTTAGAAAAAAAAACCAAAAATAAAAGGGTACCTTTAGCAGGCATTGCTTGACGAATCTCTTGCGAACATCCAATGCAAACGTCTCTAACCCCAAGTCTTTCTCTAACAATCTTCGAACTCCCTCGAATGTTAACGAACTTACCAACAAAGAAAACAAAAATCAAATTAAACAAAACGATCGAGTAAAACAAGCTTAAAATTAAAACAAATATTCCAATACTATACTCGATATTCACATTATTCAGAATAATTCAAATAAAACCCTTAAAATACCAGCCCAAAACAACTAAAAAATCCCTAGAATTCGAGTCTTTTATTCACCAGAAAAGCGAATTTCACAAACTTGTGAATTCGAAATCGAAAGCCTATTTATGGAGCGTATAAAGAACAAAGAGCCAGAGAGAGAGTGCGTGTACTCGGCTTGTTCCTTGAAGTGGCCAACACGAGAGCGCATGGCTGTGGTAATTCGTGACTCGATATCCTCCGACGCCGCCGTCGGTTCCACCGCTTCCTTGTCGTCGGTTTCGGGTGCCAGGCTATCGTGCACCTCCGCTGCCATTTGTCGAAGGAGGTTTCGGAACTCGTACTGGTTTAGAGAGAGAAAGACAGTGTGCTAAAACCTTGACACAAGGGGGAAGAGTAAAAAAGGGGTAGAAGGAATTGATACGTTGTAGCCGGGTGTAGAATGATAAAACCAAAGTGAAGGTTCAAATTTTGTATATGCCGTAGATCTCCTAATGCAAGCGGGTTAAGCTTTGGAAAAACGTTTGTAAGTACGAGAGTTATTCTGAGCACATGCGTATCCACGCTTTTCTTGCGTGACATCATTGTATTACTTCTTTTTCCCATTACTTAAAATAATTGTTATACTTTTTTAATTGGAAAATAATGTTATTTCTTCTTGAGAACGCTTTCAAATTCTGTTTTTCGAACTGATATAATATATAATTATTGAATCAAATGCTATAAAAAACTTTATTTTTATATTATTAATATCATATATCACGATCTAAATCAATATATTATATCATATTTAATAAAAAATATATAATACAATACGATGAAATACCTAAATTATTATCAAATCAAATGTTATTAATAATTTATTATTATAAAATTTTTTGCATTTAACTTTCAATATTTTTTACTTGTCAAAAAATTTTATATAAAAAGAAAAAAGCTCATGTAAAACTATTTTATCTATACTCAAGTTCATTTCAATTTTCATGATTTCGTTACTTAAATTATCATCTCAAAATAAGAACAGATAGGAAAGATTTGTTTTAATGGGGAAATAATTGGGTTCCACATGCAATGCAAAGTCACAATCATAGTTCACAAACACATGGAAGTTTAAGGATGGATGTACATACTTTGTAATGGGATGTTCTCATTGTCTGATTTAATTTAGTAAAAAATTATATAATGGGTTTAAGTAATAATATTATTATCTATTAAGGGTTCGGGTAATAATTTTAACATATCTATGATTTAAATTTGATTATAAATAATAATTTTTAATATTAAATTTTAGTTTTATATGTAATATTTTGAGATACTATTTTAAACATTTTTTAAACTTTTAATTTTTGTATGAATGAACATTAATAATATATATAATTTAATTTTAAATTTATTTTAATTGAATATTTAATGAGTTCGAGTATTTAATAAGTGGTGTTTGAAATATTCAAGTACAAATTTGAATAACAATTTCAAAATTTAATCAAGTATTTATATAATTCAAATACCTTATCATATGCTAGGATTCGAGTAAAAAATCTAACAAGTAACAAATACTTAACAAAAATGGAAAGAAATACATTTACTTATATCACTTCTATTCATAATCATATAACCTTAAGGAATTCAATGTATCATGATTAAAATTTATTTATTGCTTTTTTTGTAAGAATTTATGGCTTTATTTGTACTTAAATGCTAATTTTTATATGTATAGACAAATAATATATGAATAAATATAAATATATCTAATCCATTTTATGCTGGAAATTTAAGCAACAAGAATATTAAAGAAGAAATAAACGTAAAACTGTGATAAAAGAATAGTATGAAACAATAATTGAAGGGGTAGTCCACATAATCTCGCACAGTGACAACATTAAACAAAAGCGGATCACGGTTACACACTGCCTTGGGACACGCAAACGTGAAACGACAACCATCTCTTCGTCTTCAAATCATCATCATCCCCAAATCCAGAAAAGAGTTCAGCATTTTAGGGTTTCCCGTCGAAGAACAATGGGCGGCCATGAAGCTGTGGAGGTTGCCAAGACGGTCCTCGAAGTCGCCGACGTCGCGTGGACCGCCATGGAATGTTGCCACCACCTCCACCACGACAAACACGACGATGATTGCCCCGAAAACCATGACAATTCCAAGCTCGAAAAAGAATTGGAAACCCTAAGATCCGAAAATCGACGTCTCAGGAATCTTCTCGAACAAAACCTCAAACTCCTCAACAATCTATCTGAGTCTCCTGCTGTATTGAACGATTGTCCTCCAGACGTACGTAAATTCCGTAATTTTGTTTTGTTTTCTAATTTCTGGAACCTAATTATGTAATTAATTGCAGTTCTATGCTCGGTTGGTATCTACCGTGGATTCTAAAGATTTTTTGACCCGACTCAAATCTCTTAACGAATCCAATACTCTAGTTGAGTTTCCATTCAAGGAAGCTACAGGTTCTTATATACTAAATCTTTTCATTGATTTTAATCGTGTAATCTATTAGTTTATGTCAGGGTAATGTTACTTGTAGTCGCATCATTTCTGTATCAACTAATTGCACTTGCTGATTTAAAAAAAAAAAAACTAATTGAACTTGCTGATGTCTCAGATAGTTTTAGATGAATTAAGGATCGAGTCTACCTATCTATAAGAATTATGCATCTAGAAATTCATAATTAGACTAATAAATTGTTACAGTTTCAGGTGGGATGAATAGCTGGGATGATAGAATGCTTGGGCGAATAATTTTTTTCTTTTATAATAAGAATGTCTAAATCACTTGATTAGTTGATATGATTTTTTTTTTGTTTGTTGTTGTCTTAGGGGATGATATGCATTCAGCTGAAATTCTGATAAACCTCGACCAAAAAGAGCCAAGCTGGTGGGTATGGGTAACTGATGAAATGGTTCCAAGCAATGTTGAAGAGTGGAGTGGAATTGATGATGAGAATTACATTGTTGTTAGTGAGGAGCATGTTGTGGATGGGGTTGCTAACTTTATGGCTAAATGCATTTTGTCCAACCCTAAAGCTCAGGTTTGTAGCTACTGATATGATTTTTTTCAGATATACTTCATATGCTGAATTCTCATTTTTGTTCGTTGTCATGGTATTGCAGACTTTGACACCAGAAGAACTGCAGAAAAGTAAGTTTGCTGCTTAATTCATCTGACTTTACTACCTAAGTACTTGTAGTTTGATAGATCTATGCTAGATAATTTATTTTCCCTGGTATGCTTACCTTTTTTGTCATGGTGACTGGGTTAATCTTCCTGATATTTGATGCTATTTATTTCAGTTTCATTCTTTTGATAAAGAGGAAATTGATTACAATTTACTCCATGATTAACCTATATAGTAGAGGGTGGGCAACTGTGCATGTAATAAATTCCATGCATTTAATTCTAGTTGTGTCATCCATTTTTCATGTCTGGTAACCTTGATGTTTATACACCTGAAAAGGTGTTTTCTGTTTTACGTGTCTGTTAGCTGACATTTCAAAATCTCTCGCTGGTGAATTTGAGCAGAGTGTCATCCTCCATTGGTTTTATAACAAATTATCTTGCTTTTGTCCCTCGTTCTTGTATTCAATTTTGAATATTAAATTGTGTTACTTATTGTGGTGAGTTTATGTGCAGCTCTGCTGAAAGCATTCGGTGGTGTCAGCAAATTGGAGAAGGTTTTGGGCATTTGGCATGCGGGAAAATTGTTCTATACCTTGTCAACCTGGGGTCTTGCACTGGTTGGGTGTGTTTCACTGTTCCTTCTAGTATTGTTTCTTTGCCTTTTGTATTTGTCAGTCTCCTTTCATACCCTCAAGGTCAAAAAAGAATGGCATGGATGTTGTTTTTGCTTGAGAGGCCAAGCATGCTGATATATCTTTTTGTACACCATTGGCCCTTGATCCTAGTGATAATGCGTACTCCCTTTCTAGGAAAATCAAAGTCCAAGATTTGCATGTAGGATTAGATCAGTACTAAAGATTAATGGAGCCTGCTTCTCTGTTAGCTGGCTGAAATGTATAAATGGCTTCCCCAACCCACACAACACCCTTTTAAGCATAGAGGGATTGTTATTAATTGAAACAACTATACCTTTTATACATCTTCGGAATATGTAAACTTCTTAAGTTCCTGTAGAATCGTTTGGAAATTTTAGACAAACTTATAGACTATTGTACTATATTATAGAACCCAATGTTTGCATTGGGGACCAAAACATTTAAAGATTGGAAACTGTAATTCTTTGTACTCTAAAGTTGCATATCTTGAGTCTTGTGGAAGATTTTGGTACCTGAAAGAGTGCTTTTAGATTTGGCATTGAGAATTCAAGCTTGGTGTGCTGGGTGTTAGCTGTGTTCCATTGTAATCTTTAATCTAATGAATTAACATATCAATTTCTCTTTGACGTGGACAGGTTATATAGGACACGTACTGTGCTGAAACTTGCTGCAATGGGCATCAACTCAACCAGCAAAGTTGTAATGAGGGCTCTATGAATTAATTGCTGTATAGCAGAGAAAAAGTCTGTTTAACTATATTAATGCTTGGGGATTCTTGCTTGATTTGTTAAGTCATTGTTGGTGTAAATGTAAATATTGTAAATACGTTTGAATTGGTACCACGCTTTTAATGGATAATTGGATTGATTCAGCCCATGCTCTGCTGCTCATATTCGCTTGTAGAAGGAAAGATGGTCAAGTTGTTTGGTTGGGAGACATTCATCATCATCACAAAATTGATCAGCTGATGAATCACCTCCACAAACATATTGTAGTTGATCAAGTGTGCGACGTCGGCATAATTGGATATGGTAAACTTACCATCTGGACCACCCTGGATGGCTCCTTATAATGTAGATGATCAACTACTAAGGCAATTCCGTTCTGTAATCATTTTATCAGAATCTGTCGGGGTTACTTGCTCAAAATCATGTGCATTTTGTGATCACCTGAGACTGACCAGAGCCGGTCCATGTCTTGCCCCTTTTGCTTTGGAAAATGTTTTCAATTTTCCATCTTTAATTTTCACACTCAATATAATTTATGTTGCTATCAAGATTTGGGATTCCAATTTTTCATAAAAACTCAAAAACAAAGATATCCAAAAATTATAATCAAGTTATACTAAAAGTAACTAACTTATTAAGAGATAATTTAAGTTGCACAATGATAAGCATTTCCCAACACTAAACAGGTCCTAAGCTTGTTGCAAGAACATTGGTAAAATAAAATTGGAAAAGGGCTCATATGGAAAGCTATATTGACCATTTCTTCTTCTTTATTAGTTCCTGAAATTGCAGGTTTAGCACGAGTTAATGTTTCTAAAACCAATAAAGCATCCCTGCTGCTAATTAGCTTCAGCTGTTTGGTGGAGGAACGGTAGAAAGAAGAGGAAAGGAGGCATGCCTTTGTATGTATTAAAATCTTATCTCAAAACTATCCAACTCTTATGAAGGTTAGCAGGGAATTCATGGTAGGAGGAGCAAAATCTCTGGTCTGCATTCACCCAATGCCGCCCCCTCTTTTGCCATGAGCATGAGCACTGATAAATAGCAGAATTAGACTACAGGTCGAGAAGAAAATCAAAATGTATGGAAAAATAATCATCTAGAACTTTTGCAACATACATGAGTTTGTGAGAAGATAAAATCTTTAAATGGTAGCTCAATCCTTAACATTTTATTATTTGTGTCATACAAATTCTGTGTAGGTATCAATTTTTGCACATGCAAATGCTGTTGCTCTCACAAGAAACCAAGATGTATGTAACAATTGCTTGTAAATAAAACAGGGAAACTGTGCAATGTCCAGAATGAAACAACAATTGCCAAGCATGAAATACTCACCAAAGTTTAGTAGATAATAGAACTTTCGTAGCCTTCTCAGTTAACTTTATGTTTCTGGAGTCTTTCTCTTTTTGTCAGATGCTGAAGCAGCCTCAGATTGAGCCTGACCAAATACCGACCTGCAGTTACAATAAAAATCAACTTTGAATATGAGGATGATTCTTTGCCAGGAAGGTCAAATGATATCTGGGATTTTCAAGAAGAGAAAAGGATGATGGCTATTCTACTGTTATCAAGAAAAGCATGAGAATGAACTGTTCTTTTTTTAATTGTTCAATAGATGAGAGCATGAATACTTTTGGGAGCAGAAAATAAATTACAGAATCTAACTTGCAGCTAGAAAAGTAATATATGCTTACCCACAGGTCGAACATTTCTTGTGATGCTTGCAGAAAATTGACAAACATACGGAACATATGTAACCCATGTCAATGGTATTTTTATGGCAAAAACATCTGCAAATTCAAGAATTCAATCAAGTGAATTTCATAATTTAAAGTTAAAGCAACAAGAGCATGAGAAGTGACATGTGATTAACTGGGAGAATCTATTGGGATATAAGGCCTTATGCAGTTATGTTAACTCAGCAACATATAGTTAGGACCATACTTTAAGAAAAGAAAAAGGAAAAGGAAAAATAAATCTAATACTCTCTCTGTCCTAGTAATGCCAAAAAAATTGTTAAAAAAGGATATTTATGGTGTTTCAGCTAGAGTTACTGCTATGCCTTACCTTACCTTTTCTTAAAGGACTAAGCATGATATCAGCTTGTTTTCTTCGTTAATATTTCACTAACATAATCTATAATCAATAGGACAAATACATGTTTTAGAAGTATGAGAGAAAACGAGTACATCCATAAAAAATAAGAATGGTTTTGCAATATACACAATTAACAATTAGCAAAACTTACGAGGCACGGAAATCTACACCGACAGGCTTTGGAAGGTGTAAAAAACTGCGAGAATGCAAGTCAGTAGCAAAAATAGTCTGCAGAGAAGGCCAACAACATATTAGTACAATAATGTGCTTAAATTTTCATCAACCAAATGCACTTTGAGAAACATTTATCAAGAAAAGGACACTTTTAGCACTATGCAAGGCCGCAAGTACTGTTCTCAGAAACAAGTACAGTATAAAACATATTGTTCAAGAAATCATGTTGTGTTCATCAATCTGTACAAGAGGGTATCAATTCATGGCAACAAACCAGACTTTAAATTATAAATTCAAGTTGCTGTCAATTGAAAAAACAACATACCATGAGATATTGAAACAGCCCATCCAAATGTTGAGGTTTATGATGTACACCACCAGTTATGTACGAAGCCTAAAACTCCCATGCATCAAAGAGTATCAGTAGAAGTAAGAGAGGAAGACCAATGTCTGTTTGCAATGCCAGGTCATTAATAATGAGTTACTAAAGGTGCAATACCTGCTGCAGGAAGGCAGAATTCTGAGCACCCATGTAACAAGAATCTATAGGAACCTGCAGGAAGAAGCACATTAACAACATGAATACATTTGAAGAAAGACAAACTACACATCCATATAATAAATAAATGTGTTGTGGATGCACACGTCTGTGTGTATTCATATTTATAGGGAGTGAGAGAGTGAGAAAAATAAACATGACAGCCACAAACTTAAAGAAATGATTCAAATTTCACCAACAAACATCATGTAAATCATCCTACTATAAAACAAGATAGGAGTGGTGGAATGAAAATAATAATTTTTCCACTAGAAGTTTAAGATCAAATAACCAACCATGAGCTGTCATGGTGATATCCTGAATATGCATCCCTAAACAATTCAAACAGCTGTTACGAGAGGTAGAAAGAATAGAATATCAGAAGTCAAGGAAAATTAACTTCACAACTAATTCAGTTATCTAAAGTTATTCTAAGCATCATAAGCAAAGCACAGAGTAGGTCGAATTTAGTCTGATAATGAACTGGCAAAATATGAGAAACAACAAATTTTGGGAAAGAAAAATTGAAACAATGAGAAAGAAATAATAGATGCAACATCAAGTACCATAGAGCGTTGGGCAGAGAATATCGCATTCATGATTGCAACATATCTGAAAAGAAGAAAACCTTTATTCGAGTCTAACAGCCAGAGTAGGAAACTGTAAATAACAGATAATATATTAAAAAGAACGTACTGTTCAGGTCCATCTGGTGATCCCTGCAAGCATAAGATCTGCCCACATATGTCAGTAAACTACCGAAAACAGAGTAATAAAAACTAAAGAAGGAATACATCAAAATCCACTACCATAAGTCGGTTAAACTTGCACATGTTTAGTGTTTTCTCTAACACCGTCCACAGAAACTCTCCATTTTCTTCTAGGTTTGAATATGGCTATTCCCTTACTGTTTGAAATTAAGCCACTCTTATTTTTTGAAGAATATGCAACAAGGAAATTATATTGTCTAGCATTCATTTACAGCATTCACAACTATATAACCTTGTATGCTTAAACCAATATATTTCTCTCTTTATTGTTGCTCAATAACTGAGAAAATTAACATTCCAAAAGTGCTGTATAGTTTGGCCCACAGTTAATCTAGCAACTGTGGTCAATATTACCAACAATGATATAAACTGCACTGTCCTTGCAGATGTCCTGGACCAGGTTACCATGATACAAGCATTACCTTTTGATCTCATAAGAAGCAAATATAAGAGAAGATGACGCACTAACATGAGCAATTGAAAAATGAGAATGCTATATACATCCAACTAATAATCATGGAAGAAAAAACACCTCATGCTAGCATTATACAAATTGTTCTAAAGATGACACATTGACTATAAGAAGACAGATGAATTCCCACCAGCACTAATATTTAACGAGTGATGTAGATGTGTGTGCAATTTATATGAACATATTTAAGCCGTGTGCAATTACGGAAAATAAAAAAAGAAAAAGAAAAATGTGTGTATCTATAATTTTTATTGTAGTAGAACTGTAGCACCAAGCAAATAATAATAATAATAATAATAATAATATTCAGTTTCATAGAGCACATGAAAGAGTTTTACAATGTGTAGTGACGCATAATTGATGGATAAAATTTCAGATGCAAATTATCAAACTTGGAAAATAAATCAAATTGTAATCAAGTAATCAGAGACTCACTCGAGGATGCGGATGGAGGGCTCCTGAACGAAACACTCTCTGTATATCTATTAAAATCTACTTAAATCAAACAACTTGTAAAGGACATATTCACAGGGTGTTCTTTCTTTGGTGCACTTTCTGTGCAACTGAATAATAACTGCCCACACAACATCACTTGGTATTAAACAACCAATTCCTTTAAATAGCTCTATAACACTATAACCACTATAAAGCATTCAGTTTCAAAACAACAATGTTTAGCACGAAGAAACCAAACATTAACATCAAAAGAAGTAAATAAAGCACTAAAGTAGCAGAAAGGATACAGCAAAGAGCCATTGACAATGACCCTGACAAGAGGGAAGACTTAATCCTTCCCTCGGGTACCTCCTTACTCAACTGCTCGTCTTTAATAAGAAACTCCTCCAACTTTTGCAACAGGCTGGAGCACATAACAGGCATTCTCCCATTCTCAAAACTCTGGTTCAAATCGGAAGACGAATCGAAGATATAGTTACAAGAATTATATCCAGTAGCAATAACCACGACTTGGTTTAGTTGATTCAGAGTCAATATTGCATTCAAAAATGCAAGAACCTATACAAATACCAACATACAAATTAATAAAATGTAACAGTCAATTCATGTCGATCGTGGTTTGCCTTATTTTAGGGTTATGGATAGAAGAGAGAGAGAGAGAGAGATTACATGAGAAAGAAACTGAGAGAAAGAGAGCGAAGAAGCCCTCCAGAAAAATGGGTTAGTGTCTACCAAAACCACCACAAGGCTAACATCATCTGCAACAACAAATAACATAATAATAAACACAAAAATTATCAAAACGAAAAACCCAACAAGGAAATCAGTCAAAATAAACAAGGGGGAACCTGCATAGAGCTTGGAAGGAGCTGAAGCCATGGAGAAGGCAGCTTTTGCTACTCTTTTCTTTTCTTTTTTTATTATTCCAAGATTGTTGGGGTTTTTTCTTTTTTAATTTTATCAGCAAATTTGGTCATTTGATTTCAGTGAATTGGATTCCTGGGAAATTAGGGAGCACATCTAACTAGAAATGAAATTGTTTCTGTTCTTCGAGCTGTTGACTGCTGAGCTGAGTACAGTGCTGGGTTTTGCATAAAATGGGCCGAAGAGCAGAGTCCCCATTTCTTAAGGGATAATTTCAGATGGCTCAATTGGGCCCCTTTGGAATGGAATACTAGTTTTATTTCTGAATAAGATGCCCGTTTTTTTAAAAAAAAAAACCTATATGGTGGGATAGAAAAATGAAGACACTAGGAACTAATTGAGTGTTCGGATACTGTTGCCAGCTTGACCAATTTATTTGTATTGTTGGATCCACTTGCTCAATATACTCCTGGTGGCAATCTGACAGCATTTCAATTTTGTCTTCCACAAAACCTAATGCCCTGCTCGTAATGCTACTTAACTATATACCACTGAGCAAAGCAACTACTTGAATTAGGAAGCATGTGTTCTGTGCACCCAACACTGGAACGAGCTTTACCATCTGGCCTGTCTGAAAATGAACCATGCAAAACCAAAAACATCTTGTGAAACATTAACGTCACTGACGTAACTCATAAACGCAGCTACTGAAAGAACAATCATAATAACTTGATACGGTTGGATCCAGAGGCAGAGGGACGGGGGGTCTAGTTTCTGCCACTTTATTTTTACCCTCTCAAAATTAAAATTCTAAGTCTGCCACTGATTGGATACAACCACCTATTACATGAGTACAAAGCATGTCATAAAAGAGAATATTTCAAAACCAGAATGCCCTGATTCCAACCATTGCTTCCACTACAACCTTAAGACACTGTGGTCCTGAATATTTGGCATCTAACATCAGTGTGTTTGCCTTTGAAGGTAAAAAGATCAAGTCCGTGACTTCAAACTCATATAACAACGTTTGGCTTTGCATTCAACATCCTCTGGGACACCAGAGGCACAAGGTTTCTTTTCTTCTCATGCTATATGAACATATCCGGTAATTTTTCTTCCTGGTGGCTGCATGATCAGACTAGAGATGTTCAAACAAGGTATTGAAATGCTTGTTTCCCTCTCATCACCATGCCTCAAATGTTAAAAATGGATAACAAAAGGCACAACAGAATCAATCTGCAATTAACAGAGTTGATGGACATAGCTATGAGACAACCAAGACATATTAACAACCTAGCTTGGCCAAAACTCCCAGTGTTTAAAGTATCTGACATTAAAAAGGGTCTCAAAACCAAAGTCTGCAGATACGTAAGACAGATTCAAAAAATATTATTGTGATGAGAACATAATGAACATGTGCAAATACACAGCACAGTCAAGTGTCAACCTCCGCATACACAATGGCAGAATTGTGCTAAAACAATATTCATTCTGCCTGGAATATAACTCCTACACTCTAAATTTATCCACCCCAACATTCCACAATCAACAGTTATTCCCTTTTAAAAAAAACAAAATCATGAAACATGGACAAAACACAGCAGTAAATATCTTTGTAGTCCTGCAAAGACAATGCGGTAATCCAAGAAGCTTCATAAAGCTCAGTAAAATTAATGAACCAAAAGCTCAACTGCACACGAATTGCACTGAATGATTAGCAATCAAGAAAATTAACTCACTAGCGCAATATGAACTCCCACCACAGTAATGTAACACAGTCATCAATAAAGTTACATACAACAGACAAGTGGGACAGGTCAAAAACTAAGCAACCTTACAAAACAAAACCCCACCAGAATAGACAAGGAAAATTACAATGAGAAGGGTGAGATTAATTTGATAAGAAAGTATATCATAAGTGCAGTAGGAAGAGTGGCCAATGAATTCACCAACGAGGAAGCATCAGATAAACTTCCAAAAGGAGCACCTGCTGGGGGAAGTCCAGGAAGTGACCCAGTAGATGGCACTGTAGAAGTCTTGGGCACCGTTGTTATGACACCATCTGACTGGGGTGCAGGTGCTGGGGCAAAGACTGAATCCCGTGTAACATAAGAAGGTGGGGCTACAAGGGGAGGAAATTGCTGTGGTCCTGCATTATTTTTTGAAATACAATGCAAATATAAATCAGTAAAGAAGACTTATATTGCCATCTGGAAATAATTATGAATCTAAATCACTCACATTCAACACCTCAGCATTTAAACTCGTAAGTCTTGTCACATAAACCAAAATTTTCATAAAAATCGAAAAAAGCAGCAGAATTGTAAGCAATGATGCATCAGGTAGCAAATAAATTCAGAATTCTGATAAATTATTAAATAATATTTGTATTTGTAGATGATGCAAAAAAAAGTGACCAACAGCATATAAGAACATCTCGCTCCACTTCATTTAATTAGCAATTACCGTATCCAATCTTTTCATCTGTCTCAATGCAAAAAGCAATTATACACATTCACATAGCACCAGATTAGGGAAGTATAAATTACCCTAAATTGAACAACTTTACTTTTCAAGCATTTTGGAATGCCAACATATAAGAACAGTGTTTTATAAACTCTTACCTGGGCATCGAGGTTGAAGGGATGATGACAACCTGCAGAACAAAGACACCGTGTAGAAAGGGTTCAATCATTGAACAAAACTCAAATATAGAGATTACTTTTCGTGTAACAATGAACACGAGGAGGTAAAAGATGTAGCATACCCAGTGATAATGGTTCCATTCGAATAACCACCATAAGTACAAGAAGTGACATTGCATCCAGCACTACTTTGCTGCACCGTGACATTCCCTAGCATGAGATTGCTACTTTTACATTGCATGCTTGAACAAGAAACAGCCAAAGAAGCAGGCATGCAGTACAAACTGTATGACACAATCAATAAAGCTGATTAACTCCAGACTGTTAGATATAGGGGTAATGAATCACATACAGTAAAGACTAATATAATTAAAAAGACAATAATGCAACAAGCTAAGAAACAGCTCAATTACTTGCGACTCCCTGGGCCGCAGCTGCATTGAACACAGTGGCTAGCAGTAATAGCATAGCTCCCATTGGGGACAATCAATCCACGATCTGAGGCATATTTCGGAAAATTCGAAGCACAAGCTGCAAGCATCAAAAGTAAACAACTCCTAACCTCCATTGTCATTGTAACCAGACATAAATAATGCAAAAACATTAAAAACCATCACTCAATTCCCAAAGATGAAGTATAGAAATTCACAATAGTGGCATTTGCTTGAACTTATCATCGCAAACAATTACTAAAGGAGGATAAAAATTCAACTAACACTACAAAAGGTTACATCATTAACAATTGCAGCAATTATGTTAAGCCAACTCCTTACTCCACAAGCAAGACAAGAAGTCAACTTTTGACAGTTGAAACATACAAGACACTAGCATTGGCTTAATGGCTTAGATGATTAAAACTTTACAAATTTCAATATCAACCGCACATTTTACCAAAACAAGGAAATGAAAAACTACCTGATAAAGGAACAGCTAGAATATCACCAGCTTTAACGGAAGAACTCCCCATAGCATTAACATTCATCAAATCAGTGATCGTAGTCGAATAACTCGCTGCAATTCCAGCTAAAGTATCCACTGGCTTCACCACATACGATAAATAAATCGCCGGCAGTCCATTATCAGTATTATTAAAACAAGTACAGGGTAAAGGAACCAGAAGGTTCTCCCCCACATCAAGAACAGTAGGATCAGCAATCGAGTTAGCCTCCCTAATCTGATCAGCAGATACCAAACCAGCATAAATCGAATCCGCGATCAAAGAAAGCGTGTCCTGAGGGCGGGTCTTGTAATTAGTGGAAACGGATTTTCGAATCCCATCAACACAGGAACAGAGGATGGGGATCTTGATGAAGAGCCGAGCAGGAAGGATGTGGTTTTCGACGTCGGGGTAAGAGATATCGATGGCGTTAGCTGTGAGGATGGATATGGGGTCCACCTGGAAGAGGGAAGCTACCTCGGCGACTTTGAGGTCGGTGTAGAGAGTGTATCCCAGCAAGGAGTTGCAGGAATCAGAGTTAGAACAGGGCTCAATGGTCGATTTGGAAGTTACCAAAGCTACATTGGTGAAAATGATGAAGAGAAGGGCTTTGTAAAAGGAGATAAAAACGGGTTTTTGGTTTGGCATTGTAAGGTTCCGGGGTTTGAGAAGTTTGGGACTTTTTTTGCTTGTTTCTCCAGTTAAAGGCAGGGGAAAAAACAGAGCGGTAGAAGAATGTAAAGAAAAGAGCTTTACTTTGCTCCTCAGAGCTGAGTTCTTTTCTTCAGAAAGGGTTTTGGGTTTTAGAGAGAAGGGAATAAAAAAAAGAGACCAAGATTTGAAACCAATAAGAGATGGGTATTTTCCTTCTTTGCCCCTTTTGGTGTAATCTAACGATCAAATGTGGTGTACTTGAAGGTTTCTAGGGTTTGTTTCAGCTGGGTTTTATCCTCCACTGTCAACCAAAAATGTAGTATTTACTTACGAAAAAGAAAGAGTTACTAAATATAGAAACTTTGACAGTAGAAATATGGCTACCCTCAAGCTGGGTAGATTTCAGTGGCTTGGTCTTCTTCTTCTTCCCTCTGTAAAATGGTCTACAGCAAAAGAACAAGAAGAAAGGGTAAGAGAGAGAAAGCAAGACGGGGAGGACTCAAATCAGTGGAGCTGAGGACGGGGACAAATGTTTTTCATAGGGTGATCAGACACAAGTCAGATTCTCGATCTTAGAGTCATTGAGGCATTACTTTTTCCACTAAGACTAATCTGTCCCTCTCCATTTTAGCATTGAACTATCGAATTTCATTCCGAAAGATTTAAATATTATTTAATTTTAATAACTAATTCAAAACTCAATTGATGTTATGTTCGATATTAATTAAAAAACAATCGAATAATTTATATTTATTTTAATATTAAAAAATTTTGGACAGTTTATGATGGAGGGGTGTTTTGGTAAATATGCAGGTACCCAGCTTTTAAGATTTCGGAGCATCTAAAGTTGCTTACACTAGACCCACTTACAATTATATCGGCTACCTTTTTCGGGCGTGGAGGGCAGGAAAAGAATTTCCGGTTCTTCTTGAATGCTGCGGTTTCGGACATGGCTTATTAGCATTAAAGCAT